CAATGCTGAGTACAGCCAACCTGACAGTCTCTTCTCTGTCATTGTAGACCGCACCTCATTCCTTCAGTACTTCGGTCCGAATGCTTCTCGTTTCGTGCCGTACCGTTCAAATGAAATCGCCGCCAATCATATTTCCACGCTCGCGCCAGGTCCGGGGGAGGGGTTATAAGCCGTGCGTCTTGTGCTGCATTCACTTGCACTCGGACATTAGAGACTTTCTCTCATAAATGTCCGATGAGCCATAACTTTTCTTTCAAAACAAACCTGCCAACTGGGGTGGCAGCTGGGGTGGCAAGGCCTATTTTGAGGGTAGCAGTTGTCCCCCCATGCCACCCCAGTAGGTGAAACTAGGCTACTAGCTACAGTACAGATGCAACCAGATGAGTGTTTAACTCTCACTCTGACTTTTTTTTTTTTTAAACACACGCATTTTTCCCACCCGCATTCCGCGAAGACCCGCCCTACTGTGCCTCTGATTCGCAGACTGTTGGTGGGGGGAAAAAACGCTGACGGGATGCTGAATGTGATTGGACCAATGCGTTGACAAGACACACACAGTGGAACAGTCGGACATGCATAGCGCTGTTTGTAGTGGACATAGCGGAACATTTTGACTCGTTGCGTTGTGGCGATGTCTCGCAGATAACACATATGAAAAGTATAATTTGCTCAGAGTTCAGAGACAGTTGTGGTTCGGTCCGGATCCGGACCGGAGTCCGGACTTTGAGGATGCCTGATTTATACACTCCAGGGACCACTTTAGAAAGGGAAATAACCCTTTGTAATCCAAATAGAGGGCTGAAACAGAGCCATTTTCAAACTGTTCTTTCTTACTGTGGACATACTTAGATAACATACTCTGGCCAGGTTTAGTTGAATAATTGAAGTCCAGCTCTGTAGGGTGGTGGTGGCGGCAAAGTCCCTAGGGAATTGGCAACTGGAAGGTCACCAGTTCCCAAGTCCCGGAAAGACTCAAGGCACCGTTCCCTACACTGCTCCCTGGGCGCCGTACATAATGGCAGCCCACTGCTCCTAACACTAGGATGGGTCAAATGCAGAGACCTTGTCCGGCAGTGGCTCAGTCAGTAGGGGCTCCGGTTCACTCTGGAGTGAGCTGTAGGGTCTCCGATTCAAGTCCCCGACCAGATTTAAGTATGGAGTGTGGACTGCTACTTGGAGAGGTCCCAGTTCACCTCTGTGGCTCTGCCGTGGTGCACTTGAGCAAGGCACCGGACAATCGCTGCAACTCCAGAGTGAATATTTCTCAGAACAACAGCAGCGGTGGACTATGTTCGAGCTGTGCTCATGTTGCTATTCCACCCTTATACTTTAACGTGGCTATAAGGATGCCTCTGTAAATCAGAGCAGTTTAATTTACATTGTTTGGCGACATACTGCCGTAGATAAAGGATTGTATATTATGAGGTTTCTCTTGTCTTACATGGAAAATGTTAGCCTAGCCCTAAAGCCAGTCTGACTAATCAATAACAAGATTTAGAGCCAACAAAATAAATAAGAGATGAATTGTTTATGGCGTGTTTAATGGAAGAACGCATTACATGTTATATAAAACTCCACCTTGCAGAACATTAATCAGGCATACTTATGGCATATTCCTTATTCACCAAAAGCTTTCAATGAGATACTTGTTGCTCCCACAATGATAGAAAACAGGTTGTAATCACATGCATGTTCAATAATAGATTATAGTTCACACGTTGATATATTATTTGCTGTTCAGCCTCCGACGTTGTGCCGATGCCACTACAGTAAAAACATAAAAAACTCTCAGTGGAAAAGGGAAATATAGAAGAGTAACTGCTCCACCTTTATTCACTGTACTGCTCGTGCCCCTCTTGTTTCAGATGTGTTCTCCTCATTGAATCCTTGTTTTCCTGCAGACTCTGGAGTGTGTGAGGGCGTGGTGTGTGAGGGTGTGGTGTTGACCAGCGACTCAGAGAGCGAGATCTTCTGTGACTCAGTTGACTCTGTGGAGCAGCTCAGCAACATCAAGGTATGAAGCAGCTGAGGCAGTGAACAGAGCAAACTCATAGTGTTGCAGAGTGATTCAAAGTTTCACTATCTGTAAATATAAAAATAAGAACATATAAAATATTTCACATTTTGTGTTTACAGTTGACCGTTGTGAAGACCAATGGTTTTCCCAATGGCCACGTGTCCTCTGAGTCGTGTCCTGTTCAGAGCCTCCAGCTGGAAGGCCGTCTGGAGGTGAGGCAGGTGGGGGCTGGGCAGGGTGGAGAGGGGGCGGAGGACGGGAAGGGCCCCCAGCGGAGGAGCAGAGACACAGGAAGGGAAGCTCCACACCACAACTGGAGAGAACGTAAGCAAACTACAGGGTTTACAGCATATTTAAAGGGTTGAGTTTGGTTTTTCTTAATTTCTTTAATTTATAAACTGATTTCATTAAAGAGATGCACTTTGTTCAGAATATAAACTCATATTTGTACATATAGCATAGCTAAATCACAACAAAGAAAACAAGAAGAAACTAAGATAAAACTGAAATATTAAATGAATCAATAAAGCTCAAATCTAAGCAGTAATACAGCTGTGGAAAACATTTAGAGACCAGTGCAGCATTATCAGTTTATCTGGTTTGACTATTTATAGGTATGTGTTAGAATAGAATAAATGTTAATTTGACTCAATGAACTACTGACTACATTTCTCTGTGTTGGCATTCAACAGACACTGGAATGGAATGGCTGCCATACATGTAGATTGAGATTTAAGAAACATGTGGATGGGTCTCTTAATGTTTTCTGAGCTGTTTGTATTCAACGGTTGTAACTGTGCATGTCTGACAAATAGGCACTAGACTTATCACTGGTGTGGATATCAGATAATTGTGGATGTTGTTAGAGCAGAGAATCCTCTTTGATTATGAGTGTGAAAATAGTATTTCTGAAGTAATTATTTAAAGTCTTTAATTTAGTCAATATCTCTGCATCACTCGAAACTTCTTTTTCTCCCCCCCACCTTCCGTTACTCTGTGTTATTTTACTGATGGTAGAGCTTCATATATTCTGTTCTGCTGTGTAGGTGGTGTTCCTCAGGGCAGTCCCAGGAGGGGGGGGAGGGGGGGGAGAGGTGGTGGCCGAGGCCGGCCTGAGTGGCGGCTGGAGATGCTCTGAGGGGGGGTGGAGAGGCTGCACGAGGCCCAGCTGCAGCAGCAGATTGTGCTGGCGCTGCGCCGGCTGAGGGAGGACATGAGGAGCGTGATGGAGCGGTTGGAGGCGGTGGAGCGGCTCGCTGCCACACATGTAAGATCAGCACGCTCTGTGAGGACACAGTGTCATGGTGCAGGTCTGACCCCTGCCAGTTCACACCATCATTTGTGTGAACTGGCAGGGCTTCTATAGAGATAACCACGCTGCTGCTTTGATCATGTTGCAAGTTCCAGATACTCTGGGAAACACACGGCTCTGTGTCTGGGTTCATAATCCAAATAATTCTCTGAGACACACAGAGCTCAGATAATTTCACCAAGCTCTCTGTCTCTTGTCTGTCTGGTTTACTACAGTGGTATGACCAAAAATGCATAATTAGTCATTCATATTTTTGCAATAAACGCTTAAAAAGAATGCCGAAATAACTAAATAATGATACCTATTAGTAGGAACCCTGAATTAATGATTTGTTTTCTGAATGGAGAATTATCATCTTGTAATTTTAAAAAGCTTTGCTCATCTGAGCTGATAAATAAATTTCTAAGTTAAGCTTTGACTAATATCAGTATTTAGACTGGAGCAGCTGGAGGTCCTTCTGCCCGTGGTCATGCTGTCCTCTGGAGAAGGACATGGTTGGACATTTTGGCAGAAATTCAAGCACAGATTATTTCCAATGTTGTGTTTGAATGAATGTTAGTGTGTTCTCTGAGGCTCACGGCTGTTTGTGTTGCAGGCTCAGGGGTCAGAGTGGAGAACGTGCGCACAGTGTGCCACCGCAGCTGCAAAACAGCAGGTAAGAGATAAAAACAAGATAAATGATATACTGTATGCCATTTTATTTTTGTCAATACCCCTTTACGAAAGGGTTTAAAATTCAAAATACAATTAATCAAATTAATAACAGAATAGAAAATAAGCCTTTATTGTCATTATACTCGTACAATGAAAGATAAGAGCTTCTTCTTGTTAAGGTGCCATCAACAATCTAGACTTGGGGCAGCGTGGTTCCATCGGCCTACAGACACCATCAATTAGTTTCACTGAATCTATTTAGAAATATATGCAACTCCTTTAAGAGCACCTCAAGTATTTTCAGTTTCTTAGACATTTCAGGTGAACGTATTACTTCAAAGTCTCAGAGAATACATTTATGTTGTTTTTTCTAGGGCCGGGACTCGATTAAAAAAATTAATCTAATTAATTAGAGGCTTTGTAATTAATTAATCGAAATTAATCGCATTTTTAATCACATATAAATATCTGACCTGAGAACAGTGAGAAGCAATTTTTTTCACATGGATTTTAGTATAC